TGCACAAATCCTGCTAATAGATTATTGGCTACCTTTAATGTAGCACAAACCCCGGCATAAAATTTCCAACACTGGTTTTACGCAATCAGTAAAGAAAATCATTACCAAATGTGGTCGTGAGATTCAAAATATTGGAACACGAAATATTTCTGAGCAAAACTTTCAAATTTAAAAAATCTTGAAAAGAAAATTTGAGACAATTTTTTTTTTAGATTAATAGACTCCCTTTTTAAAGCTGAATTGAATGGTGGTGGTTTTTAAAATCCAATGTGTGGATCACAAAAATTTTAACTTGAGTATAGATGATCTGCACTGTATGTCTAGCCAGTCACCTTGTTGAAACCAAGGGCTATACTGTACAGTTGTGACTGTAAATTTGAACGCTCTTAAATTCATAACATAAGGAAACATATTACTATGTCTACTCTATGTATACACTACTCTATGTCCCAACACCTGAGTCACAAAGTTGTTGCCTGCCTGAGTAGCATCAACACTGTTAAAGTCCTCGTAGATAATGGCTTTCTCCATTTTGCTGCTAAAGATTCTATTGAATGTATCCAATGCAGTTTTTTGTTTGCAAATTTCAGTTTAGTAAACTTCAAAGCTTCATATTCAGTTTCCACTAAGTGATTTGATGCAAAAGTTGGTGGATCAGTTGACATTATAATATTCATTGTAATAATAAGAAATTTTTGTTCTTGTTTCTGATTTTGGTGACTCAATCAATGACATTTACATACCATTAAGGTTGCCTGAAAAAATCCGCTTAGCCTGATGCCGAAAGGTAAAACCTCCTACATAGTGCCGAAATGCCAAAATGTCAAAATGCCAAAAATGTCGAAAATGCTGCAAGCGTGCAATCCGAGTTTCCTATTTAATAGGTTATTTATAGCTCAACACACAGCCTACTTGCTGACTTACGGTTGATTCTATTGTTTGACACACAGCCTACTTGCTGACTTATGGTCAAGTTTCCTTAACTATATATATATGACACACAGCCTACTCGCTGACTTACGGTCAAAAATTAATTAAAGTATAACTTTTATCTTTTCAGA